AAAGGACCGGTGTATGCAGTCGGGGATCTCGTTTGGCTACACCACCCCATTACATCGTTAGGAACTTGTAGTAAATCGCACTAACCCTGGCAAGGTCCTTATGGAATCGTCCTCATTTGATCCCCCACTACGTTTGTCTTACGTAATATTTAGCTATTAAGACGCTTAAAATTGATAGTATTATGGGACTGACAACTAAAAACAAATTTGTGCAATGCCTAGAATAACGATTAAAAAGTGATTAGTTATTATAGAGTAAAATAAAAGAATTGTAATGAGATCGAAATTCCGTAACACTTTAGTATCATTCATAAATTTCTCAGTGTAAATTTCAAGCTTTTGTGATTTTAGTTCAGATACTATCTTAAACATTATTACCGCAAAAGTATTCTCACACTGAACTTAATTTCTAACCCTAGTTCCTAACTGTAATTCCTACCTATCATTACCCTAAATTATTCAAAGGGAAAAAGTTCATTAGCCGTTTCAAAACGATTTATGCATTGTAATTTTAATTATAAACCATTGACTGAAAATCCCCTCAAAGTCGGCCGTATAGAGTTTACTTCTGTTTAATTCCATTTCCTGAATTTAATTAGATTGATCTCAGTGCAATGTAATGCTTTTTTTCCCGTAACTTTGATAAATGTCCATTGCTCGTTAGTTCGGTCTGACATTTCTTAAGACCAAATATTTTTTATTTCGATTATCTATTATTGCAATTGAACCGGAATTTGGGCTTAAATCATGGCCTTGGGTCATCAGATCGTCTAAATTCACCATTACTAATCTTTGTATTCTCAATATCATATCATATATAGATTTATCTTTTAATTAGTTTACAAGTAATCAACTGACTGACCTAGTAATATGTCATTAAAAAATTGTTACAACATATGTACCTTCGATTAAATCAGACCTGTAATGGACGACTACTTACAAATACAGATCGTTATTACATCATATTTTGCATAACAGATGATAAAAAATAGCATATCAATCGATTGCTGTTCAAGCGTATATAACGAGATATTACAATTAGATAATATATTTGTATTACTTTTTGTCTGTAAGCTTGAACTAATCTAATATGTAACCGGTTTTTGTAAGTTATTTCTATATGACATTCTAAAACTTATAATAAAGTGGCTTATGCTCAAAGTTCCTAGGGTATATATGACAAACAGCTTGACTGGTAATATGTTGATTGATTCGGTAAAACAATTCATAACTGTGGTGGTAAATTATAAGTGTTAATCCAGCTGAGTAATGAAACAGTGTTGTGGCATAATTATTTCAAAAGTCGGTTTTAAATCTCCTACTTGTCATTATCCAATCCTGCTCCAATTACTTCCCGTTTGATCAATATAGTTCTTACCTTTAAAAAATAAATGTACATGAAGATATTTACTGTCCCTAAATAATTAACTGACAATGTGCAATAATAGTTGAAAAATCATAGATATTTAATCCAACATTTGATTTATTAAACAGTTGTACTCCGTTTCCTGAGACATTAGAGATTGGCTATAGCTCAAGAAGAGGATTATTGCAATGTGTTCATTTAGTTGGTTGGTCTTATTTACTAAATTACTTACACTTGTTAGCACCCGAGGAGAAAAATAGGCCGACCACCAGCATTCTACGTAGGGCTCTGTTCTGAGCAATCCTTTCCAGTTGCTATTCATTATTTTGCTGTCTGTCTTTAATTGCCGACGTAATATGTTCCTTGGTCCTCTTCTTTCTTTATCCCTTTAAGTATTCCAAGTTATGATTTGTCTCGTGATGTGGTTTAATGATTTCCATAATGCATGTCCTATCCACCTCGATTGGTTTTTCCTAATTTCCTCTTCAGCTGAAAACTGGTTCTCCCATAGTGTGTTGTTGATGATATCCGGTCAACAGACATTGAATATCTTGCTTAGACAATTGTTCATAAGTACCTGTAATATTTTGATAATGGTTGTAATAGTTCTGGAAGTTTGAGCTCCGTACAGTAGAACTGTCTTGACGTTAGTATTGAAGATTCTGATTTTGGTGTTTGTTGACGGTTGTTCTGATGATTACTTAACAAGAAATGGATGTAACAGTGAATTAGTATGGTGTATGCGTCAGATTCCTGAAATTCATTTTGCTTCTTAACATGTTATCAGTGTTTTTGTATATATCCATGTAATATTCTGTGTCTCGAATACAGCACTTTTTGTGTCTAAGTATAACGTAATCCTTTCATTGTTTTACAACTGGTGATTCTGATTACACGATGAGTATTTGAAGTAATTTCATTTGGTTTACAATACTTATAATTTCATGTACATCGATAATTGGCTTCGAGCTTTCGAACCCATGTTCCTTTCTTATGCTGGATATCGCCTCATATGTGGAACCAATCTGTTGTCACGCCTCTTCTCATTAGTAAAATATTTTACTAATGACAAATGATTGATTGTCTAGGCTATTTTACAAGCATAGTCGAAAATTATCTCGTTTAACTTGGTAATCACATCTGATTCTTTATTCGTGATTTTGTTTGAAATCTCACGGAAGAATTCTGTTGCAAGCTGACACCAATAAGTTGCATCTCTCTAAAATATAAACTCACCCAATAATTCCGTCCAAATTTTCTTATGACTACATTAATTTGTAATAGATTTTCCATATCGCTCACTTGCTATGATTTAATTTTCTGGGGATATCATTAAATCATAGTATTCATTCAGACACTTGAATTTATTTTTGCTGTAACTCATGCCAAATGTAAGATGATGACAAGTAGCTTAATAATAAGAAGGGTGTTTAATCATTTATCTACTGTTGTAAAGCCACCGAATAATTTTTTAAAATAAAGTATAAAAATGGTAATTTAGTCGACAAAGTTGCAAACCTATGACTATTAAAGTAGTCACATCTTTTTAAATGTTAAACCACCTTTTGTTCTGTAAGTGTTTGTGCTGAATAATGTCGTTATAAGCTGGGAAAAGTTTCGTACCATGAATTTACAAACTGTTAGTCTGAGAAAGATGTAGGATAATTATGCCGAATTTATATGTATGTTTAGACAAACTATGAACAACTAAATTAAATTTTATTCGACCTGGAAAAAAGAGATCATGTACTAAGTATATATTTTTGCCATCCATTAGTAATGTTGCCGTGCAATTAAGTGGTTGTTTATTTATTGTTTAATTATGATAATATCATAATGATTGCTAAAATTAGATATATTACTGATGTCTCGCGTATAGCTCATAGTGTAATACTATCCCTAGTAAATGGCAGAATTCCAATGAACTGGAATTGCAGTTGGCCACTGAAATTGTTGAGCTCTCTGTCTTTTCGGCTGTGGAGATATTGTAATAAATTTTCCTCTTTCGTATTTGTTATAAGTTATTAATTATATATTTTAACTGTATAACATATTCACCTAATTTTATAGAAAACACAGTTTAGAGCCCTCTTGATGTAAACTAGTTTTAATTGTGGAATTCTGCGCTATTCAATGATATATCAAGCGCTTAAACAGCCACACATGTGTATTATAGCATGTCAAATTATGTGTACAATATCATAGGGTTGAATTAGTCAATCGTTATTGATGTCTTGTGACTAGCTGTTTTAATTACCTCTTAAGGATAACTGAATATCTGTTTCGGCTTTGTCTGTTCGGTTAACGTTGAGTACCATCAGTCTATACATGACTTATAGTTCAAGTTTGTAACTACTTATGCTAAGTGTTTCTTCAGTTTTATAGATACTGATTATTATTCAGAAATTTAATAATTTTGCAGCTAAACTGTTGAACTCTCTGTGTTCAATTTTCTGCTGAGCCATTCTTTAAGTTTGCATACACAGAATTCACCGAAGGAGATTTTTTTTATCAACAAAATCATTTACTTATTCTGTGCATTTGTATTTCCAGTTGCTTGGTGAATGTATATTTCTTTACAAAGATAGAAAAGAATGCATCATAAAGTGTACAAGATTTAAAATATCAGGTGTGGTTGGGTTAATAATCAAGAGGGTTAGAAAAGAATAAGTGTTTGAAACTAGTTTGCTGGTCAGAACTATGAAAGATAATTGTCCACTTGACAGTTATGATCAAAAATGGAAAACGTAAACGTCATAATAACCACTGAATAATTATCATGGAAAATTGTTAAGGGATAATAAAAACTGATCACAGTTTAAATTACGTGATCACATTAGAAAAAAGAACCAAAACATTCTACAGAAGGGAATCAAGGCCACAGGAAGATGAGAAGTTGGACATATAGTCTTTGCACGTAGTGTTCATGCTTAAATCGGTGTGCCGTTAACGCCTCAACAGCGCATAAGCTTCTGATTCCGCCTCTCTTCGATCCAGTCCCTTGGATTTTGTAGATTATTTTGAAGGTCGACTCCTTTGAAGCTACTTATCTGAAGTTGATTAAGTGATCCTGTATTGAAGTGTTGGTCGTTTTGTATATACCTTCTAAAAGCAACACTGGGTAATGTTCTGAGGCGCATCTGTAAAGTGATCGCTTTGTATGGTCAATGAAAGCTGCTTCTGTGGTGCAGGCAAATTTATAGATGCACATCGATGTTGCTGAGTGCGGAGGTTTATCCCTTAATACATCCGTGAACGGTAGGCCGGGTTGCGAAGTTAATATGAAGCTTATCTGAATAAGTTTTATTCAATTCTATTCTGTCTAGCGAACCAATATATTTCATAATTCTGACCCGCAAATTATTTTCAACCTCCTATTCTCTTTTAACCCTCCTGATTATTACGCAACGACATTGGATATTTGAACACTCAAATCAATTTATGATGTAATCTTTATCTTTCTATAGACATACAAATACACCAAACAGCTATAATTACAAATGTACAGTATAAGTAAGTGATTTCGTTGATAAGAAAACTTTCACTTTATTTTTACTCAATGACACAATAGATTATCTTAAATTTGCATACTTTCAAATTTTGTAATTTATTTAACGTTAATTGTTATTTTCAGTTCACCTTATTCACGTAACATGTTACCAGTATGCAATGCTAATTGTTCATGTAATCAAAATGAATGGTCTCCAGTGTGTCATTTAGCTTCTGATATCACGTACATTTCACCTTGTCATGCCGGTTGTCAAGACAGATTCCTTCTCAATAACTCAATATATGAGGTATTGTCATATCTAATTTTTTTATGTGTTATAATTTTTTTTTCACCAGTAAATTGATTATTAGTTATTTGAAACCACATCATACATTGTAATTAATAATTCTACTATGAATAGCCATGCTCATGGTGTTATGTAGATATATATATTTTAAGTGCGTACCGGTTTAATTCTAAATTTTTTTTTTCATTAGGGCATCGTGGGAGAACCAAAATCATCTGATTTGATAGCTATTATATTCCAAACTGTTCCGACCACATTAATTAATGAAATCTTATAATTTTAATTAATTAGTCTCCTTTTAATTTGTACTATGAAACTGAGACTACAATCGGTTACTTTGCTCTTTCGCTGTATAAAAACCACTACGTAAATGTATCTAAACTTATTATCTACTGTCAAATCTCATGTTGCATAGCAATATTGCAATCCATAAGTAGTAACTGCTAAGCATACCCACTTTTCTGATTCACAAATAAAAATCTTGTTTCTGTTACATGTAGTGTAAGTTCATGAAAATTAGACCAGTTTTATGTAGTCAATCATAGATTTTACTAATCATCGACATATTCATTATACCGTAACGTCTAAACTACGTGAATTGATTAATACTCAACTACCTCACTGCTCATTGTTAACTTAAGAAAATTTATATAAATTATTACAGACTACGCGCTGAAGCAAAATTTTGAATAAAAAGTGATGGACTTTGGTTAGGAAAACATTGGAAAACAGAGTACTAGACATCAGTTGAGTACTAGTATGGGGCTCTTCAGTAGTCCTCATCTATAACCGTCTTCAAAAATTATATGAATCTTCACGGACATCTCATTCAAACAGTATTTGTGCGCTCAGTATGTTTGATATGGAATCTTGAAGTTCTAATGAGAAGTTTTATTAGGGAAGATCAGTAATTTCGGTACTCAGGCTGTATCCAAGTATTTATTTGATTTACCTTTCAATTAGCCATTCCAAATGAGTTTCCTGTAGATAGATCTTAGATTTTCATCTTGTTTCCTTGTCATTTTCACATCAAGAAAGTGAATTATTTGTTTGTTTTCAACTTCAAGTGTGGAATTTATTGGTTGGTGACAGTTATTAAATGTCTTTAGAGGATTACTCAAATCATATTTATTGTCACAAATGATAAATGTATCATCTACGTACCTTTTATACCAGTCGAAGTTTTCTATAGTCGTTCTTAAGTTAGTTGTTTTCTAGATTGATCATGAAGCAATCTACTAGTAATGGACCAAGTGAGGAATGAATTCAAAAGTATCATATACAGAGTGTCTACAAATGCGTTTTCTTTCGGGTTCTAGGAAATCTGCCAGCCACGTTGCTATTTTGTTTTATCTTGTCAACTCAGTATTGTATTTCCATAGTCATCATTGAATGATTGGTATATAATCTTTTTATCTGTATATCATTGATCAACTCAGAAAGCAGTTAAATTATCCTATAACCATATTGGCAAAACAACCTTGATCTCATTCGTTAACCCATAAGAAATCAGCAATGATAATATGAAATTGTAGTCGGATGATTTAGGTAGATCAACGAATAATTTGCTCAAGTTGTATGATACACGCATTTCAACCATCAATAGATTTCAGAAAAAATATAGAATCACCAATCAGTGAATTAAATATGTGATTGAAATTAACGCTGTTATTATTTATACGTTAAATTTTCAAGCAACGGTACCAGGGTCAGTTAACGTTTTGGATAGCAAATTACTATTTTTCTTGATTAGTAGTAAAAGTAAATGTTATGATTGAGTCAAAGTGTCACTAGCTATTTTGGCAGTTGTATCAAATAACATTTTCTTAACATTATCCCCATTTATAATAATAATAACTGGTCGATCTATTTTTCTTTTACACATTTCTAGTTTCGTAAATGTGCTTGTACATTACACAGCATCAATAATAACAGTATTGTTTCATCTAAGATTACTGATGTAACAAAACCTGGTGAATGTGATTTACACTGTCATACACTGATTCCATTTGTTGTTCTATTAACATTTTTATTATTTCTAACTGGTGTAATTCAAAATCCTTTATTAATGGTTACAATGCGATCAGTTGATCATAATCAACGTTCTTTTGCTTTGGGCCTTCAATTTACAATAGTACGATTGTTTTCTTATTTACCTTCACCAATCGTATACGGACGTGTGATTGATGGAGCATGTCGATTTTGGCGAACAGAATGTGGTCGTGTAGGTGATTGTGCTTTTGTAGATGTGCGAGATTTAAATTTATATATAACTGGTAAGTTGTTGGGTAAATTAGAATTTTATTAAATTTTCTACTTTCACAAAATATTCTTTTTGATGTGTTTAAGCATTTTTGTACATTTCGCTATAATTTCAATGGATCATATACTATGTGAATGTTTTGGAGTACCTATCTGGACTCTGTTTGCGCTAATCTTACGTACTTTTCAGTGGCCAACAAATTCACCGTCCTAAACGGATTGATGTCAGTAAATTGGTAGCAACTTTTGTTGCCACTAAATATCAAACTGAGCTAGGTTCTAGGCTAGCAAACATCCCACCGAAAGGTATAGATGAACATTGGTTGCAATTGCATGACGCCATGAAAATGGCGAGTAAAGTTGCCTGTGGCTTTGGGAAACGTCCCGCTTATAAGCATTTGTTTTCTTCTGGCTCCTTACAAATCGTTGAAGCCCGTCGGTCTACTCCGGGTGACCATGAGTTTGACCACAGACGAAGGATGTTACGTAATGAAATCGCACAAGCTTGCGTGAGGACTGAGAAGCCTGGTGGTTGGAGAGTGCTAATGAGTTGGAAGCAGAAGCTGAATCTGGTAACTGCCGGAAGTTCTTTCAACTCATCCGAGCCACTGGCAGCAAGAAATCTGGTGTGAGCGAAGCAATCTGTGAGGATGACGAGATGCCAATCACTAACATCCATCGACGTCTTGGACGGTTGGCAGAGTTCTTCGAATAGCAGTTCAACTGGTCTGCTGGTCTGAAAACATCAGTCAGACTGTCCTGCCTTCCATGGGCGCAGATGACTGATCCACCAAATGAGGCGGAAGTCCGCAAGGAACTCCAACTCTTGAAGCGCTACAAATCACCGGGTCCAGATGACTTTCCTCCCCTTTGTTCAAATAAATAAATAAATTTGGTGTAGGCGAAATTCGCCAGGTTTTGTGATATATACATATATGTTTAGACAAACATTAGATAGATCTATTTTATTTCATGTGCCCTAGATCGTGCTTACATGCACATTAATTTTATCAATAAAATTTTATGTAAAGCATGGACAAATATCCAGTTACTGTTATAATGAACCTTGTTTATATAATTATTCATATATTGTTTTACCCGATATTACTTTACCACAACGAAATACCTAATCTTTTTACACTTTTTATTTCATCGTAAAGTATTTTGTGATCAATTGTTACTGTCACTTTTATTATTATTACTATTGTCATTAATTGTTAATTAGTATACTAATTTGACTGATTACTGGGGTTGTTATTAAGTGTTATCATTGACCGGATATTACTTGATCATAATTCATACTAGTTGTAACCATATCTAAATATGTGTTGTCCAATAAATAACTTCTTGAATCTAGATAGTTTTAGGGGTATTATTCACTCGATGTGTTACAGTTGTTTTATCGAGTTACTCATAACTGTCAGTGGTACGAACATGTTTCATAGTTACTTGTGTTGCTTTTTCGTCGCACTAATAAGTGATTATTTTACTTTCACAATTATGTATGGGGATTTGTGGGGATTGTAGTATTTTATAATTGAATTCACGAGTCAATCTAAGCTAGACCATCATTGAAAACCTGGGAACACTGGACAGTCGTTCCGTTCTAGCATGGGATTCCTCAGCAGTGCGCATCCACTAATTCACATGCGGAACTCGAATCCAGGACCTTATGTCTCACGCGCGAACGCTTACCCTCTAGACCATGTAGTGCTTCCATGTTTTGAATGGTGGTCTGGCTTAGATAGACTTATGAAGTCAACTGTTAAAATTAAGTTTATATATGTACATTCAGTGAATTTCATTGTACAGCGAAACATTCCACTTCATTCATCAGATTTCTTTAAGAGGGTTGACTGTTAGTGCTTTGTTAACTTCATAGTCATACAATTTTACTAGTTATGACACTTTGTTATTACATTCATTTTTTTCATGTAATTGACTTTAATCGATATGTCTTATACGAGAACTAAAGGTACTATTCGTGCATGAGCACACTAAAACCGGTTGGGCCAGTTTTGAACTTACAACTCAATATTTCCTAATTACATTATTTCAACCTTAAAATAAAAAACTATTTATAATGTATGTATAAATGCACTCAATTTTGTTGAAATTATTGAGACCATAAACCGATATAAGTTAGAATTAATTATTTCACTGTATTTTTATCATTTCAGGCCTTGGATTCGTTGTCAAAGGATCTGGTCTTTTATTTTATTTTTTCCTACTGTACTTTCTTTATCGTGACAAATCAGCTGATAACACTACTTTTAATAATCATGGTAGTTTAGCCAATGAACCTAAACATTTACATGGTGAAGTTAACGGTCCAAAAGTACCAACTGTTATTGTATCGTATAGTAGGCCATGACGATATCTGTATATACATTTGTAAAAATATCAATTTCTGAACATTTTCTTTCCCCTTTTGTCTATCTCCACCTTCCAATTTTTTAAAATCTTATTTGAGGAATTCTCTTCACTCCCTTCCTTGATATTGTATAACTGTTGTCCATTTTAAAATAAAATTCTACATGTCTTTATGAATTTAATGAAGTATAAAGCATAATGAGGGTGATTGAGTAGGACAGGAATAGTCTATGAAAGACTTTGTCTTCACCTGCCATTTATTGAAACTTTTATTCCCATAATCCGATTCATTGATATATTTCATATGACTAAACAGATTTTATCATAGAAATACAACACTATTTTTCTCTCTTTCACTTACAAAAAAGCTCCCTTATTTTTGTTGTATCATGCAGATTGGAAAAACAGTGTTTGTCGATTTTCAATTCTTTTTTTTTCCTGTTAATTCTTTGTTTGTACTAGAGCGTTGCTCGATATATTTATACTAAAATATGTACTATAACTTGGTTATAAAAACAGCTAGTGTGTAATGTAAACAGATCTATAATTCAGTTTTTAAAAGTTATAAAGATCTTGACTAATCAGTCAGCAGTAAAACCAGAATAACGATAATGATGACGTTGATAAGGAATTACGCTACCTGAATGTATGGGGGGAACTGGTTGGTTCACTTCTCATTTTTACTGGTGATCTTTTTCCTTCCTATTAATAACTGAACAATTGATCCTGTTTAAAAGTTTTCTTCTATTTACTGAAACATTTCTTTTTCTTGTGTATATTTATTATTATTATTATTATTATCAAATGAATGATAATTTTATTTTCTATCTTTCTATCAATTTTCATCATAAATGATGTCAACAAATGAAACATGAAAACCTAAATATATATTTTTATTGAAATGATATATTCATTTTATTATTTGTATTTATAAGATATCGAAAAGTTGTTTGAAGTAATCAGATTGTTCAGTGTTTGACTTACGATTTTGTTTCATCCAAATATTGGGATTACAAACGATCTGAAATCGAATTTATGATTTCATTTAAATCACTTATCTTTAATCAACATTCACTGATGTATTTTAATGCAATCAGTGTGGATTAACTATTCATAGTGTTTAAATTATTTTTTTATTAGCGAAAATTAGCCAGTCAACAAAAGTTATGTTTACTTTAAGTATTTAGTATTGTTGATCTTTTTGTTAAAACACTTACTCTGGGTTTGTTTATTTCAGTCAAACAGTCAGATAGGTAATTATCTTGTTGTGAACATTTTGTATTCATATTATCACATTTTTGTTGTTAAGGCAATATATATGGATTAATTTTTATTCACTCAAAACTATACGCAACATTCAAAATAATATTGACTATATGTGGTTAATAAGTGGAGCTTCATCGTTTATTTTATCTGTACAGCCTATCGAAGTGTATTATAGGGACGAGCCAATCAGAATCGAGAACACAATTTTTAGGTTTTTAATCAAAATTTAAGTATCACGTATAATGAACAGTAACAATACTTTTGTATGCTGCTCAAAACGATGACTAGGCATATGTGGATACCATTGAGAATTGAACATCCTTTTCGCTTTAGTACGATACTCAACACAATACAGTAAAAGTTGCATTTTAAAATTCTCTATTGTCCAGCTTGTTTGAAAGGATAACAGGTCTCATGTCTGTTTTCTGCCAGGTCGTTTCTTTCATATACATATATATAATTAATAGTTTTGAGAATATCCACTGACTAGTTCCATAAATATCTTTTGATTAGATGTTCCTTTCTAATTCGACAGTTACCTGTCCTCAACTATATAAACAGTTGAACACAGGACTTTTAGATGTCATATCTAGTTGCATGCCTTCTAGATACCGAAGAAGTATCCAGTTTTTTATTTTTCTTGTTTTTAGCATTGGAAATAAAAACTTGGTTCGTAAGTGGTATTGAGGACAAGAGTTATTTTAGAAATTATAGCAGTGCTTCCACGTTTTCAATGGTGGTCTAGCTTCAACTGACTCATGATTTCAATCTGTGAAATTTCTAAAATCTCCACAAAACCCATTCCGATAATAATCAACTGCTCACTAGTGACTGACTTCAGGAAAAACTCCCGAAGTTCTAGTGAGAAGCCGTTACCAGTGGAGTTCAACCAGGTCTGTTGTGAGATAGTAACTCACTGAAGACAATGGTGTACGGTGGCGCAACTTCGTGGATTGGTTGAAGTTAGACATTAACACCGTTGGATGCCGGCTCAGTGGTCTAGTGGTTAAGTGCTCGTGCGCGAAGCCAGTAGGTCCTGGGTTCGAGCCCCGCGTGGTGCGGGATCGTGGATGCGCACTGCTGAGGAGTCCCATACTAGGACGAAACGGCCGTCCAGTGCTTCCACGTTTTCAATGGTGGTCTAGCTTCAACTGACTCATGATTTCAATCTGTGAAATTTCGTAATTAAGGAAAGTAGAGAAACAAAATATTGATAAAAATCGAGAGATAGGTGTAGATATTATTTACCAAGTTTGTTTAGCTCATTATAATAGTATTATAGGATTCTGTTTACAATTTTTACATTTTAAATGAACTAATTTATTTGTGTATAACTTTGTGTGTCTTACACTTTGTATGTTTCAAGGAAAATGGGTAGAATGTATAGACATCATTTATATCAGTTTGATTTAGTTCAATGTACCCTTTTAATAGATAAATGTAAACACTTTTAGAATGTTAAAGTTTGCATAAGTTAATTTTTAATTTTCTAACCATATTTGTTTAGTTTCAGAATGGTTTTCTTCAGGAATCGATATTAAAGTTGTTATGTCCTTATTCCTGATTAATTATATCACGTGATACGATAGCCAATTAGTGACACCGACTTATACGATCAGATTAATGATGCATAAACCTCTATGAGCAGTCTAGAGTTCTCATTGTTCCACTGAGAACAGTAGCCCCTCTCTTAATGTTGGAAGGATCAGGAAAATTCCACGAAAAAAGCCAAAAAATGCTGTAAACTCTGAGAAACATTTTATGTAATTAGCATTCAATAGACTTTTTGCCAGAAACATTTAGAAAGTCAAAAGTCTCATGTTACGTTTCTGATTGGATGGTTATTTATACTGCCTCTATATTTAGTAGAGCTCCAGAAGTTTCCGGGAACCCAAGGCCATCTAAAATAATATAAATACCCTAGATTTTTTGTACATTAGCGAACTTTTGGAGCAAAGCGTTTCTTCCATATTTTGCTCCTTTTCTCTCGTGTTCGAGTTGTTGTTTAGATTTAGCCTGGGCGTTACTAGCTTAGGAAACTGAATCTGGAGTTCAATTAGAAGATTTATCACTTCACCCAGCCGGTTTAGTCCGGAACGCCAATATCAGCCTTTACTATACGATTCATATATTTCAGACATACTGGGTTTATAGATAAACAAACCAGACCGCATCATACCATAAATAAAAAATAACAATTATACAAGATCAAGCCAAAAATTGGCTGTGGTTGTGAGAGACTGTTATCAATAAATTGAGAATATCTCAAGAATAGTAAATCGTATGTTAATAGTAAGTGGGTCAAATGAAAGCTTATAATGAAAGGAATATGAATACACATATAATATAGTTACTTAATGATCAGACAATAAGAATATGCATATAATATTAGTCCATAAATAATTTCCAACGGTTGCCATTCACTTATTCTCGTTCAGATATAACAATAGTGACTGAATAACAAGTAAAGCATCAGATAAATTATTTATCCTACCTCTAGAATCCTCATCATGGTGTAGCCTCATTTCTCACAGAAGACAAATCTCAAAACGTTCAAGTATCGTTGGGAGTACTAAATATTTTAAAATCCAGTAAATATATCCTGAATTCAACCGCTAGCCACCACTCTTTTGTGCTTAAAAGATGCTTAAGTAATTCCCATATTGGTGTAGTTTGACTAATTACCTGTTGAATTGGTTAAAAAGACCGGAATATATAAATAATATTGGCATCGAAGTATGTGATCGGTAAAGTTTGTGCTGATTTTATTTTGCTTTAATAATAAATCATAACAAATAGAGATGTATCAAGAGTAAAAATTGAAATGCGAATAATAATAATAACAGAAAATGATTTAGAATAAAATCAGTATAATTTGTTACGATTAAAAATAGGGCAGGAAAAATAAGGAGCTTTTTTTTATGAATGTAATAATAGGATGATAAGCATGAATAGGGCATTGATGATATTGGATATCATATTGGGAGCATTACAGTTAAACTGTTTAGTGTAGAGTAAGAAACATCGTCAAAATAAATACTACTGTTACTAGTGAGAATCCCAGACGTTTATTAACTTTTTATTCCTTATATGTTTCTGTGTTCTACATTATTTGGAAGCAAAGAGAATAAATAGAATATCTTCATTCAAATGCATTGCTTGCAATCAAAACTCTACGATCAGTTTTATTTGTACTTGCTTGCTCTAATCTATAATTAGCCACGTTCATAATAAATATGGGATGCCATTTTAAGCTAGTGTTAGATATTTAAATTTGCAATCACGTGTTTATAGTAATCGTTTTTTGCACGTTGTCATGGTATATAAATTTTACGAACTTAATGGAAAAAGTAACAAATTTCATTAGATGCTTATTAATTTGTTAGTCTGTCTATTACTAATTAAATATTTGTGTATAAAAGCTGAATAACTTACTATTTAGTAGCAACACCTATCTTTTTTAACAGTAAGATATCTCTATAACAGAAGTAAGGTGTTAATGATTAGAATGGTGTTTATTTGACGTACTATGGATATGTCCATTTAATCTTGAGAATTTCACCATCAGACTTGTTGGTTTCGTCAGTATTCGTTTCATAGAGGACATGATTATTTGTAATTTAAAAGAAAAGGAACCACTTATGGTTCTCTTAATTTTGAAGTAGTCAATAACATAGAAGTTCGCACAATAAGATTGTCTGTAAAAACTAATTTATTTAGCTTTTTTTCGTAAGA